GTTTCCGGCCCGCCCGGGGGGAGGGGGAGCCGTACCGGCACCGGGGGCGCCTTGGGGAGGAGCCGCCCCCTCAGGGAGCGCGGGCTGTGGCCAGTCCCAGCAGATCTGGTGTCCGGATCTCAGAGACGCTGTGGCAAAACACCGCGGCTGAGCTGAAGCGTTGGGAGTCAGCGAGTGACCGGTCTAGAAAATTCACACTCGGGTAACACGAAAGTGGAGAGTCCGTCCGAGGAGTGAGAAGCAGAAACGCAAGAGTGGAACAGGATGCGCAAAGAATGAGGAGGGTGTTCGAAGGAGGTCGCTCAACAACGATGAAGAGCAACGTGGGGCACTCAGGCAGAACGGGAGCACTGCGAGAACGGCCTATGAAGACGCAGCCGAATACTTAGTTTCTTGCTCAAAGGCAGTGAAGCTGTGGTCCCATGAAGCCCCGCTCAGAGTTAAAAGCTGTACTCAAAGCCCTCTGCTCTCGGCTCCCCTCCTTTTTTCCTGCAGTTGTGTGCGCTCACTGTGTTCCACACGGCTTGTTCTACGACGACACCACCCTTGGACAGGTCACTCCCCATGTCTAATAAAATCTATAGGACTTACACGGCGGTTTCTGTACATCCTGCTCTCTGCCCTATGGCAAGCCAGTTCTACCAGGTCTGGAGCTGGGCCACGGTCTTCTTCGGAGGCAGCTCCTCCTTTCTCACTTTATCTGGCCCAGGGAAGAGGCTACCCACTGCAGGGAGGATCGGCAGGAACGCCAGCTTCTGACAGCCGTACTGTAAAGAAAACGTTTATAACAAAACTCCTGCCTTGCTGTTCATTGAAAAGGATCAATTTTTTTAATTCCTGTGTGCCTACTCTCCAGCCTCTATCCCTGTTAACACGTGCCACTATCTTCTCACCCTCATCTGGAACCACGAGGTGCTGTTTGCTTTCCCCCTATCTCCTCTCTGCTTCCCAAGCCCTCCCACCCCCCCACACGCACACACACGTTTTGGTTTTCTTAACGGCTGATCTCAGCTGTGGGAAGGGAAGCTGCGTGGTTGCCACATCCAGGGAAACACAACTGGTAGGGAAACAGCTTCAAGGGAGGCACCACGCTGATAAAGCTTTTATTGTCACACAAGTGGGTTACACTAGGTATCGCTTTACTCACAACTCAGAGTTGGGCCATCACCTCAGTGAGTGGCAGAGCTCAGCTTGCTAGACCAGTTTATATACATTTGTTAAACCCATTACATCAAGTCTAGAATCTACATAAGTTTCTAAGCAACCGTTCTGTTCCTTTAAGCACATCATTTATTAAGTTCTCTCTATTCTTCTGTCTTGGTAGAATTCTCCCTCGCTGGTTTCAGTTCCCACTTGGTTTCAGGGTTGTCTCGGGGTCATCGTCTGTCCTTCACCTTCTTCTGTGAATTCTGTCTGGTACAATCCTGAGAAAGACTTTGCGAGACTTCAAGATGTTCTATTAAACATACTCCTATTTCTAAAATTTAACCTTTTGACCTATGACATTAATCTTGCTACACCTTCTTATCTTATGCTAGGTCAGGTGGTTTTTAACGCAACCATGATAAGGCCTATACAGGGGACAATTGAGAGCAGCATACCGATTCTACGATTTCTTAACACACCTGTATTCACACAATTGAATCTATGTTCTAGTTCTATGGTTTTATTCTATTCTGTAGTCATAATCAATCTTCTCTATAATCAAGCTCTAACACACACATCCCCTCCTCCCCCATAGTGGCAGTTTCTCCCACTAAGAATAAAGATTTACCACTTGTCTTTGTCCCTCACAGCGTGCCCTGCTCTCACTACTCACAACGTTTACTCCTTCTCCTCAGAGCCTTCTCTGTAACCCCACGTGCATCTTGGGAGCCATCGTTCCTGCGGAACAGAAAGATATTCAGCAGGCCTCAAGGCTCGCAGTGCACGCTCTTCAGTTTACAGGACAGCCCGAGACGTTACTTCAGCCAGCCTAGAGCCGCACGCCTTTTCCTTCTATGGGAAAACACTCACACGGATCATCGTGTCGCTTCCTGAGAGTGCCTGACAGAGCCATCGGATTGCTGGGCAAGAAACAGATTCCTCACCCTGCGAAAAACTGATGCCCCAGTTAAGATATCCTAACAATACATTTAAATAACATTTTGTCCTCATTTTAAGAGGTCATCTAGACAAGCCTTCCAAGCCACAAGGTAATGAGACCAACACATCGGGAGTTCTGGGAATCAGCAACATGTATTTGTACCTGGGATCAGCAATGATGTCATCCTTCTGAGGTCAGTAATAAGGTAACAGTTATCGAATTCAAATTAACAGTCTAGTGTCAGATGGAAAAAATAATTCCAAAGGCCATTCCCTCCTGGCTTTTTCTAATTCATATGCAGTACTTGGTATTACTTGTTCTAGAAGTACTGACTAAATACTGCTTTTAAGATTTTGTGAGCTCCAAGCAACAGAAAAATAGACCAGCCCTGCAAAAAATACACTCCGCCACACACCTGGGGAAAATAAAAATTGAACATATATTTTTCCATCATCGTTGCTGTAAATGTTGAAGAAGTGGATTTTTTGTGCCTGGCAATTTTTCATGACAACAGCGTAAGGCTGATTTAAAGTGCTGGGAGTCAGGTCACATCTACTCCATTTAAAACCAAGTAGTTTTAAAAGGAACATCACTCAGTATGCTGACTCATCCATTACAGCAACTTAAATAAACGGCTGATACTTATCTTCATTGTGAGCCAAAGTGGATTCCATCAGAGCTGCATTTATTGCAATATGGTTTATATTTACTCTTGGGCAATGAATTCAATTTGCAGTTAGCTCTTTTGAAATCTGTCACTGGATTAGTTTAAACAGCAATTCAGATCCAATTCCTGTAGATCATAATGAGAATCAAAATCTGATCTTTTAAAGGGCACTACATCAAAAGACTTTCTATAAAAGTATGCTTTATTTACAGTTTTCATTAAAAGCAAGAATGCACAGATAAGTTATTAAAATAAACAGGCATTCATACACAGAGCTGCTAAAACAAGCGAGGAGCTTATGAGGTCAAAGCCTTCTGGTATCACCTGGTATAACACCGTGATCTCAGTGAGTCACATCTGTACCACAAAGGAGAGGACAGCGATCTGAACCCTCACTCGGTCCCCAGAAACAGAGGACTGCCACATAACCTGATTTTTCTTTCTGAGCATTTAGATGGGGGCTACTTACACGGCAGACCAAGACCACATGCGCATTTTGTTCCCACTCATCACCTCTAGGACTTAACTCCTGTATCTGCAAGACACCCGCTCTCTCACCATCTCTGCAAACCTGCAGAGCCGCTGATGAGTGCAGTAATTACCGGCTGGCCCAACTGATCCAGGCACCGGTAGTGTACCCCTGCCCCCTGACCGAATCTCAGCAGAAAGGAACCAACAGCCATTACCACTCCTTTCAGCTAACACCAGGGCAGGGCACCGCACGAGCATCCCAGTGGCACCACCTAGGGCAACAGATCAGTCTGCACACAGCGCCGTTCTTTTTACTTTCGCCACCCTAATTCCTACGAAAAGGTATGTTAAAGGAAGCCGAGATTAGCCCTATCTTCTAAAACGTGACAAACATCTTGTCATTATTACTAATTTGCCGCAACACAAAGGCTTGAAAGACCTATAGTGTTTACCAATAAATTATATTCAATTATATTACTAGATTATATAATACCCTCTGACAAATGATACTTCAACTAACCCATTCTACCAACAAATACAGACAATGTTCTGCCTGCAGGTTAAGACCTCACCTCGATGAGCAAGAGCACAAAGAGCAAAAGGAGCACGTGCAGTGTTACCTGCCCAAGACCAAACACATTAGCCCAGACTGCTGGTGCTGGGGCATCTGCCAAGGGATGGTTGTGGTCATCACCTATCTTTCATTTCTGAAACGCTTGAGAGTGGAAATTCCCCCTCCGCAGCAAACCAGAGCCTGCGGGATGCCCTCCTACAGACTGGCAGGGCACAGCACAGCTCCTGCACAGGTGGAGACAGTGACAGCCTGAGTCACAGGGGCGTGAGGAAGGCGGCCCACGCAGATACCGATATATCCAGTGACATCTTTTCAAAGGCAAAGTCCTCCAGGAAAATCAGATTGTGCGGGGAGCCGAGAGGTTGCTAAAGGTAAATAAATCCTTGGCATCGTGGAGATTTTCCCACCCTCCAAGCCCTTGCCCAGAAACTTTATTAGTACAGCAGTATTTCACAGTAAGTTCTTTGATGCCAATATTCTAAAATACTTAAATGGTGTAACCAATTACTTCTGAAAATTAGTATTTGCTTCTCCACTCACCTCCAAAAAGCCCTGTGACTAGGGTACAGTTTTGGCCAGTCTTCCTTATTTGCTTGGATGCTTTCTGAGACCACCTTCTGTGTTAAAAGCCAGATCCAAAAATGGACTTCGGCAGAATGTACAGCCCAAGTCCAGACAGACAGAACTCGCCATTCATTCCCGCTTAATTTAACCTTGAAGAGACTAATGCATGAAACCTGTCAATAGTTTATGAGCTGTAAGCATTTAAATATGAAAGGATAAAGGGTGAACTAACAGGGCACAGAAAGACTTTTACATCCACTTGCTCCTTAACATGTTGTTATGCCTCAGTTTCACCTTATGACGAGACAACAAACCGTGAAAGTGATTATACTGTACGCTACAAAAAAAAAGCATTGATTTTGATTTAAGAAGTAAAATGAGCTGCAAGAGGATAACTGAATTTATTTGTTCCTTAACAACATTCACAAATAAATCAATTAAGCACCTGCAAATGCACATTTGACAACCCAATTCCTTTTAACTGGTATAACAGCAGACAGCTTGATTTTACATTGTCAGTGTACCCGAAATTTCTCTAGTGCTACAAGTAATAAAGTGCATTAATTTCAGTACTAAAGTGCATTAAAAATCTTGACAAGACAGATGAATTAGTATTATCTTATTTCAATGTAAGGTTTAACCACTTAAATAGGGAAGACTTCCACCCAAACCTTTTAACATTTTCCTCTTCATTTTCCTTTGTGTCTGAATTAGAAGCCTCTCTGTTTTCCATCAAAGCTTCGTAAGTCTTTTGTGCTCGAACAATTTCTTTGTCTGCACTGAAGTGCACCATTTGTCTGCTCAGAATAGGAACAACTAAATTGAAGTTGTCAATTCTTTTGTTTAATTTGCTGATATCTTCTATAAATTGCTGACAAATACGATTCCATTGCTTTTGCCTATACGGCGTCATTGGCCCTCCAAGCTTACTCCTAGATGCCACTATACTCTTCCTTAACCGCTCAATAGTTTCCCGTATTTCTTTCTGCATCAGGATCCACTCTGGCTGGTATCCATTGTCTATCAGAATCCTGTTCAAGTTGTGAGTCATAGGATCGATATGTGGACAGTCTGAAAATTTCTGCAAAGGTTTTCCTTTGCCACTGAGGTTGTCAAAGTCTCCTCTTGCCATGGACTCCTGGATGAGGTCCTCAACCAACCGTTCAACAGCCTGAGTTATCTTCACCTTTTTGCTCTGCTTCACATCTTTGGCTTTCATTAGGTCAGTCACAGCATACTGGCTTTCAAGTCTCTGCTTCCGGTACTCCAGCACTTGTTCAGTAGCACGGTCTACTCGAAATTGCATGTACTGCTTTTCTCTTTGGCTTGGTGTTCCAAAACCAACGCCTTCAAAACTCAAGTAGTGTCTGTGCTGTGGCGCTTTCAATTTGAACTGGTCTTCCTCCTCTTCGTTACTCTCGTTTGATTTCTTTTTGGTCGCCACATCACTGAGCACGACTCTGTACGCTTCTTCCACTTTCATAAACGCTTCAGAATCAGCTGCGGCAGAACCGCTGTCTGGATGGTATTTTTTGGCAAGACTTCGATATGAGTTTCTGACGTCATCAAGGGAACATCCTTCCTCAAGCTGAAGAATTTTGTAAGAGTCCTTGACGTTGCTTTTAGGTTTGTAGCCCGACAACATTCTGTTGCTACCAATGTAGGGGAACAGCTTCAGGTTTCTTGGAATCATTGCTTGACGTACCTTTAAATGATGCCCCATGTTGTTAGTCGGCATGACAAAGCCACTTGATATTTCTTCAGATGCAGCTACATTATAAACAAGGACCTATAAACACATTTTTATAAAAATCATGTTAAATATGCCTTTTAAAAGAACTTACATGATTTATGTCTCATCTTTAACTTGTTATATTATTTCAAGATGTCCCTACAAAATTTCAGAACAGTATAAGATGTTCTTTTCTTTTCCAGACTAATACTGAACTCTGCATTTCTTATTAACTGCTATTGAAGTAGTATTATTACAATGTAAATGAAAATTAATTCACAGTATCATTTTCTCCTGGTATAGCAACAGTAGCATAGGTTTGTTCTGCACCGCAGAATTCCCAAAAGGCCAAAGCTTTATTGCTTTTCTGCAAACTCAGTGTGACGTGAACTGGAAATACGCTTTATGTTGAGTGGTAACTGCTGAAACAAATCTCCCCCTTTTCCTCTATGCACCTACATTCAGCCATCAACTGAATTTTCTATTCACATACATCAGTGCCTCAAGATCTACTGCCTGGCACATTCTCAAAGGATTTCATTACAGTACCCTTTAGGGATTTTGCAGCAATGACTGAAGTAGCATTCAGATTATAGATTCATTTTGATTAACTCTTGTATCCCAGTAGGATACAGGGCTGTCGCATCCTAGTGGCCAATCTCCTCTGTCCTCTGGTAAGTTTATCTGGAACTCAGAACAGATCAATAATAGACAGTATCTCATTCTGTCAGGAATACCAGTGCTTCTGAATGATTTTGGGAAATGGCAAAAGGAACATTGTTCGCAAATGACAACAGAACTAAGTCTTTGCGTAAAATCAAAAGCAGAAAAATATCATACAAACTGCACACACAATTTACCCATTAGCTAACTTCTCTCTGTTAATGAAAATCCTAAGACAAATGCTGCATACACGGTGCTAAAGAGCCTCCTTTTGCAGCTTCATCAGTGACTGCAACCTACCCTCTGCTGACTTCCTCTCCAGACAAAAAACAGGGTTAAATCAAGGTTAAGGAATAAACAGTGTTTTTATGTTCTGCATATAGCAAACTGCCCTTCTGCACTAACCTGCATTTAAAGAGACAGGAAAGGAGAGGTACTTGGGACTGGATGAAAGATTGGATCAATCCCAAGTATTTTCAGCTGATTTTGACCCAGGTAAGGTATCAAGTCATCAGTTTGCAGTTACTGTGATGGACCTTATTATTTTTTTTTCATGAATGATACAGTGCTTTCTCTCCTTCCGGGTGCCGGGGAAAGACAGTAATTTAGTTCCATATGGCCACAAAAATCCATGTAACTACTACTTGAGACCAACCGACACACTCCTGAGATTCAACATCCCGATCAGAATAACACCTCCTCATAATTCCGCAGACTTGATTTTAACGTGTTTGTGCTTAAAAAAACCTGCACCAAGCAGTACGTGTAGTGCTCACCCCACGGCACAGAAGGGTGCCGGCGGGGTGGA